GCGACAAACAAGTAAACCACCACAAGAATTCAAAATCACAACACCTTCGCCATAAGGATTTTGTAAACCTTTGAGAGAAGCTTCAGAGTAGATTAATCCATTATCAGTAAAAGAAATATAGTACTTAAAACTCTTGTTGTCTTTGCGCCAAAATCTATTGACAAAAAGGCTACCCAAAGAAGGAGTTTTAAGCCTCCAAAAGGAAACAAATTTGGGATCAGAGATTAGAGATTGCCATCTTTTACAAACAAGTTTGCATTTGAAGAGTGGCTTTGGTGAGAGGAGGAGTAAAATAGTTGTAAGAAGATCATTGTTGCCTTCAACTGCTTCTGCAAAAGCAAAAGAAACAATTTTTTCACTACTATTGTTTTTAGTTTTGGTAGAGCTTTTTATTCGTTTGTTTGTAAGCATAGTGAAAGATTTTGTTTTGTTCCATAAGGTTAATGACTGTTTGTTTGTAATTGTATTTGATTAATGAACCAAGAAAACTGCAACGATCGACTAGAATTAAATGCGAGTAGACCAAAGGTTTCTTTTCCTCTCTTCCTTCTTATGGCTATTTAATTTATTGGCAAAACATATATCTGAAAACAATAAAAGTTACCATGAACCTCTTCGTTTAGAGTGAGATTAAATGGAGTTTGGCTAAATAGATTTCTCATTTAACAAAATTATACTAGTACCAATTTTTCGACATTTTGTTGATTCACATATTTAAAGACGTAATATATCCCATTTGGCAAAAGAACTCTGCTATTTGGCCACACTCATAATGGCCCAACTATGGTCACACCCGTAGAATACCTTTTATATTTGGCTTAACAACCATTTTCTCTCCAAAATATTTCCCTCCCAAACAAGCTAATAGCTATTGATTATCCCAAACCATTGATCCCATAAAATCATCATTCTCTCATGGGAAGGTCAAAAGCCTTCGTATGTTTACGTATACTACAACAATAACATACCCAGTGTTATCCCACACCGTGGGGTCTGGGGAGGGTAGTGTGTACGCAGACCTTACCCCTATCTTGTGA